GAGACAACAACGTGGTCCACACTCCACTCCACAACTTCATAAAAACTTATCAACACGATGTGATGAGTCATTACCCAGATAACCCTTTCTTTGGAAGAGACAAAAATGTGGTCTGTTGACTAGAGATGAGCTGATGCAACATCAATTGGTCTGCAGACCCTTATATATGCACAAGTGTGAGCATATATGACAGACTACCCGTCCATCCCTGTCGTCCGCGTCCACCGGGAGACCCTGTGACAAACTTTGCTCTTGCAAATTTGTCAAGGCATACTCCATTTCTAGCGCGAACAACCTAGCTCAATGGCGGCTGCTGCTGCTCAAGCTCAACCTCGTGTCATGGTGCTACCCTTTCCTGCCCAGGGCCACGTCATCCCGCTCATGGAGCTGTCCCGCAAGCTCGTCGAGCACGGCTTGGAGATCGACTTCGTCAACACCGAGTTCAACCACGGCCGCGTCCTCCAAGCCTTGGCAGAGGACGGAGCAATCCCAGGAGGAGTTCACATGCTCTCCATTCCAGACGGCCTGGGGCCTGCCGACGACCACACGGACATCGGCGCGCTGGTCAAGGGACTGCCGGCCGCCATGTCCGGCCGCCTCGAGGAGATGATCAGGTCGAGGAAGACGAACTGGATGATAGCGGACGTGTCCATGAGCTGGGCGCTGGAGCTGGCAACCACGGTGGGCGTCCGTGTCGCCTTGTTCTCCACGTACTCTGCAGCCGTGTTTGCGCTTAGGATGAACCTCCCAAAATTGATCGAGGACGGTGTTGTTGATGAAAGTGGTAAGAGCAAATCAAAATTTCCATCCCCATGTAACTCGTTAGTTTCCTAGTCTTCTCTTGGTATGTAGACTGTACACCATGAACATGGATACCACGTACATTACGCAGGGAACGTGAAGAGGCACGAGAGGGTCCAACTGATGCCGCCCGTTGACGCGGCAGAGATCCCCTGGGTCAGCCTTGGCAGCACGCCTGAGAGGCGCAGAACCAACATCCAGAACGTCCTCAGGACCAACCGGTTGATGCCGCTAGCTGAGACGATCATATGCAACACCTTCATGGAGATGGAACCTGACGCTCTGGCCCTGCTCCCGAACGCGCTGCCGATCGGCCCACTGGTAGCGCCGACGTCGAGGCCGGCCGGACATTTCCTGCCCGAAGACCTCACCTGCCTCGCCTGGCTCGACGCGCAGGCCCCCTGCTCCGTCGTCTACGTCGCCTTCGGGAGCTCCGGCATCTTGGACGCGACGCAGTTCCAAGAGCTTGCTGACGGGCTCGCGCTCTCCGGCCGACCGTTCCTGTGGGTCGTCCGGCCAAACTTCACCACCGGAGCCACAGAAGGTTGGCTCGACGCGTTCAAGCGCCGCGTCGAGGGAAAGGGTCTCATCGTGGGCTGGGCGCCGCAGCAGCGCGTGCTCTCGCACCCCGCCGTCGCCTGCTTCGTGTCACACTGCGGGTGGAACTCAACCATGGAAGGCATGCTGCACGGCGTGCCGTTCCTCTGCTGGCCGTACTTCGCTGACCAGTTCGCCAACCAGAGCTACGTGTGCAACGTGTGGGGCACCGGCATCAAGCTTTGCCGAGACGAGCGAGGGGTCGTCACCAAGGAGGAGATCGAGAGCAAGGTGGCACGGCTGCTCGGCGACGAGGGAGTCAAGGCGAGGGCTGCGACGTGGAAGAACGAGGCTTGTGCGAGCATTGAAGAGGGAGGGTCCTCGCATCAGTGCCTTCTCAAGCTTGTGAACTTGCTCGGAGAGGTGGGATCCCATCCCATCACCGCGTGATCACGACACCAGACATCGGACGGCTCCAAACATCTACGTTGATATACAAAAAGTAAAAGTCAAACAGCTTAGATATATAGCAACAAAAAATAATGGTTTGACATAGTAGCAACAAAAAAAACTAGTGAAATGGTCCACAAGGCTCAAGGCATGATCTTCCTGCTTGTTAGAATAACTAGTTGAACGCCCGTGCGTTGCCACGGTCATTTGAAATATTTTGTTGAAGTTATATATATAAATATAATGCATGTTATATTTCACATGCATACAAAAAATAGCCAGTAACAATCGGGTAATAATTTAAAGCAATGATCCAACTAATAATCTGTAAGTACATAGGGAGCAATGATCCAACTAAGAATCTATAATGAATTAATATCTACTTGATGGGCTTAAGATATTCCCAATATCAGAACTGTTATGTTTAGGTTCATTGTGAATATTTGAGCAAGTATAGTAAAATTTCTTCCTCAACTCATAATCATCTTGTATAAGCAATATATCTAATTAGCATGAATATTTCACATGGAAGGCCTAAAAATATGCAACGGAGAATACTCATCGTGCAAACTGGACAAATCAAATCTTTACCGTTCTACGAGAGCATAAAATCAAAAACAAAAGAGCCAGACACATCCATGCAGTTGAATATATTAGTATTATCTTGAATATAGTGATACCAAAATAAATGGTTGTACCTTTTTTCACGAATACGCAAAGCTTGTGTATCATTTCATTGATAGGAGGAAGAATGAGTACAGTTAAGGGTACAACACATCACACGAACGCAGATAGGCGTGAACATGGTGCCCGGAGCAGGGGAACATGGGATGCTCGGCCCGAATAGAGGATACATCACAGATAAACCTACCAAACCCGACCCAAGCACGGCAATGCCGAACCAACAAGAGCACCAACATCTCTAGAACCGAAATAGGGGACCCCGCGAGCGAGCAAGATAGCGCCTTAAAGAAGGAGGAGGACGCCGAGACGCCGTCTCCATCCGGTCCGAAGGAACCAGACCTAGGGTTTCCCCTGAGCTCGAAGAGGGGCGCAGCCGAGGGCCTTGACAACGCCTCCAAGAAGGAAACGACATCCGTAGATGCCGCCGCTGCCAGCGTCGGTAAACCGAGCAGGGATTTCTCCCTGGCCTAAGGCTGAGCAATCCCATAGACACTGTGTCTGGAAATGAAGATGAGGAGGACAACGTCGGTCGGAGCCACCATGTCGGAAGGGAGTTGGCGGGCCTGCATCTGCCGTCGGAGGATGGCATCGCCTCCGAATCCACGAGCACGGATCTAGCAAAGGGGAATCATTGAGGTGTACAAAGTAGGGCAAGAGGCGAAGCAGACCACAAGGAGGGTTGGGCAACGGCGAACAGCAACGCCGACAAGCTAGGACTTGAGGGACGCAGATCCTAGCTACCGTGGCCATAGCCGTCGGACCATCGGGGAGCCACGCGAGCTGGAAGGAACGCAGACGCTGGGTCACCGAGGCCGGAGCCACCCATCGAAGGACGCCGACAGCCATGGACACCGGAGAGACGCGGATCCAAGGTCGCAGGGACCGGAGCAGCTCCAGCAAGTACCCTCCTTGAGGGGCTTCAAGACTGCCACTAACACTGTAGTCTCGTTGCCACCGCGTGAGCTGTCGCCGTGGCTCGAGGGGAGAGGAAGGACCGCCGGTGACGAAGGGGACTGCCTGCAGGAAGGGAGGCCGCGAGCACCTCCGCGACCGGCCGCAACACCTGTGTCCAACCCAAGACCAACAGCACCAGCAGAGCTGGGCCGTGCACGGAGGGAGGAGAGGAGGACTGCAGGGGGCGTTGCCGAGCAGCTGTGGCCGGCAAGCCGCGGCCGCCGCGGACTGGCAGAGACGTGCAGCAGCTGGGAAGAGGGCCCCCGCGCAGGAGCAACAGGACGCGGAGCCGGGGGCAGGGGGCTGGGGGTGGATGGCGCGCAGGGGACGGATCCGCCCTGCAGCCACCTTCCTGGAGCGCGACACGGCCTTGCTGGCCG